GAGAGAGAGAGAGAGAGAGAGAGAGAGAGAGAGAGAGAGAGAGTCCCAGACAGAATCAGGACGACTTTCTGCGCCCTAATGACAGCTGGAAATTCTTTCTGCTCTTCTGTGAGTCGAGTGCTACAAACAGGGGACTTTTCAAGCCCAATTCCAAACACAGGAATTCTTCCCTAGTCAGTCTGTCTCCCGGGCCCCACTGAGACAGCTGGCCTTCCCACGCAAGCTGATGCACTCAGCTGTGACTGCCTGTTCCTGGGTCAGCCCGCTCCAGCTCACCCTTGACGGAGAACACCGGCTCCTTGACAGCTTGAGCTGCTTTCTGTTCCAAGTTGCAGAGAGCAAATCGCGGGGCCTTTTCAAAATGCAGGTTAGCTACTTACAGCAGTTCCTGCAGCCCCGGCTGCCATGATCTTTTTATTTATTTAGCCAGTTCTTTGAGATTCATGGCAGGATTTGAGCCTCATAGACATCCTTCCCCTGGCTTTTGTGGAGGTGATTAAACAAATTACTTCTTCCAGAGTGAGTGAGAGAGAGAGAGAGAGAGAGAGAGAGAGAGAGAGAGAGAGAGAGAGAGAGAGAGAGAATCTTCCATTAGATTCGACATAAGAGCACAGCAAAGCTGAAAATGAGGAGACTAGAAAACAGAGGTGGCTTCAGAGGGCCCTGGGATGTCCCATGCCAAATGGGGTGGGGGAAGGCTGAGAGTGAGCCGCATTGTGTGCACCCAGGCGTGAGGACACATGGAGCCCTCCTAAGTGATAGAGTTTGGCTTTCTTCAAATTTCTGTGTGAGAATACTGTGTGGATAGTCACAGTGGGTTGTGTCCTACTCACCTTTTACAAAAGCCGTGGACCGATGTTTTCTTTCTTTCTTTCCAGGAGTTGCAAGGCTTTATAAGCTTCGGAAATCCTCTCCATTAGAGATGACGCTGACAGGAGGGTGAGAAAACCTCTTCCTCTGCAGGAGACCCAGCTAGAGGGCATGGGAAAGAGAGTGAGGACCAAGGCTTGCAGGGGCAGGAGGAAGGTCTAGGGAACAGGAAAGAGAATGCCCACCACAGAGCCTGTAAGAGGGTGACATCCATCCGGGGCTGAAAGTCAGAAGTAAGCAATTGCCCTAGAGGTTCCGAGAACATGCTCCCCGGGGGTAACTGGAAAAAGGCTAAGTGAGCCACCACTGCACATCCGAGGTCTCTCTCTCATCTGATTCCACCTGGTTGGCAGGAGAAAGATCATAAGAAATAGCGTACCTGCAGACTCGGGGCCACTGAGTCAGGGATTCCTTAATTTTCTGGGTACTGAATCAGGGATTAGAAGCTGTTGCTATCTCCCTTCCTGACTCTGCCTACAGTTTGAGCAACTAGGAAGTCATGCTAAATCTGAGAATAAGACCCAATTCAAAAGCAACTGGCTTTAATTAAATATGTGTAGGATACATACGACGTTGAGAATTGTTCTCTGGTCGGGCGGTGGTGGCGCACGCCTTTAATCCCAGCACTTGGGAGACAGAGGCAGGTGGACCTCAGTGAGTTCAAATTCAGCCTGGTCTACAGAGTGAGTTCTAGGACAGCCAAGAGTGGTACACAGAGAAACCCTGTCTCGAAAAGCCAAAAACCAAACCAAATCAAACCCTCCCCCCCAAACCAAAACCAACCAACCAACCAAACAAAATCCCTCAAAAAAGAACTGTTCTCTGGTTGGCCAGGGCTGTGCAACCAGGGAGATGAGAAGAGTCAGACATGTTTGTCACAGGGGATGAAGAAGGAGGGAGCTGGTTGTTCCTTTGGAAGTCTGCAAGTGTCTTGGAAGGGCTAGGCCTTAAGCAAGATTGGGAAATATATGCAGCACACAAGGAGGAGGAGGCATCCAGTCCACTGCAGACAAAATCAGGTGAACAGAAAACTGGGCATGTGGGGGAACGGCGGGCTCTTGGGAAGTGGGAAGGAGGCGGCTCTTGTCTAGACCCAGGTACTTGTTACCTAGTAGATCCCGAGCCAACAGATGCTGGCAACAGGGGGTAGGAACCGGGCTGGCAGCAAGGCAAGGCCCTGTCCCTGGCTGGGGAACCACGTGCAGTGTGGAGTCCATCTGGGTTCCCGAGAGGGAGACAGGTTGCTATAAAGGGCCCTGTGTCCAAAGACAAGTAGACCATAAGAGGAAATGCTCAAAGGCTGAGAGAAAGGTCTAGGAGGAAGATGGGAAAGGCTTAAATTTAGATGATAGAATTGGAGCATGTGGGATAAACACACATATACATATACATATACATATATACATACACACATATATACATACACACACACACACATTGAAGAAGATCATTTGGGTTTCTGGACGCAGATACTAACTTCAGGAAGGTGAGATTTCAGCCTTGTCAATGGGAGGCTGGGGCCGTAACATGGTCAAGCCGTCTCAAGCAGAGACTTGAGTCTGAGATGGTTGGATTCGTTTTTTGTGCAGTTCCCCACGGTGTCTGTGCTGAAGTAGCCAACAGCAGGCAGACATGCGGGTATCTCAGTAGCTAGAGATCTGGGGTTCACGGAAGCAGTGGCGGGAGACATGACTCTGAATGACGGGAATTGGGGGGAGGGTGGGGGAGGAGGCCGAGCTGGCAGAGGGGTGGCTGAAGAGCATGTGGACAAGGAAGAAAGCGGAAGCCTGGCAGAGAGAAGCCAGGAGAACCTAAGGAGAGAGTCCCCGTGTTGGTCTTGAGGCCCAGCACCCCAAGGAGGCAGCTGTGGGAACTACTGAGCCGCCATAGTGAGGAAGGCGTGTAGGATGGGTCTGAGGGAAGAAACAAAGGCAGACAGTGTGCAGGAGGGACCCTGTGGGAAGTGTTGAACAAAGGGCGAGAAGGGTGGTGAGCAGAGAGGAACAGGTCTGGGGGAAGCCATTCCAGCCTGAGAGAAGAGTCAGCCATGCTTTGGGTTACTGCTTCTCCGGCATGAATGTGCCTTTGAGTCTCAGCAGAGCCTGAACATGCAGCTTCTGATGCGGGAAGGAGGATGGATACGACGCCATAGCCTGGAAGGGACAGGGCCTGTACTAGGCCAGGTCTAGTATGCAGAGGATATGGGGACATCCGCTGCCCGGGCATGAGGGAAAGGTGGCACTATGAAGGGACTTTGAGGTGAGGAAGCAGAAATTAGAAAGGGCCTGAGAAAAGACCAGGGCCCTAGCAAAGAGGGCCGTGAGGAGTTCTGCAGAAAGCAGGTGGAGGTTGGGGGACCTGAAGAGAGTGAGAGTCTCAGGGTCAGTCAGTGGCCCAGTGGCTGAATCTGCCACCAGCACGGTGCTTAATCTCTCCCTGCAGGGCCGGGCCACTGCAGGGGCAGAGAGAAGGGAATGGTTGACTTAGGTGGCTCCTTCAGGACAGCCCAGGGAAAGCTAGGGACAGAGGGACTTAGGGAACAGGTCAGGCTGGGGAGGGGACCCAGAAAAGGGGACGGAGTCCAGGGCCTTCTGTGGTGAAACGGCCGTGGAAAGTGCTAAGTGCTCCTCACGGGCGGCGGCGGCACCTACTCTGCCACCAGGGTGCTCGCAGAGGCAATGGGTGGGTGGGTGCCCTGCTCTCTCTCACTCACCCTATCTCCTGGGCTCCTTGGCCCAGAGGCTAAAGCTCTAGTTTTTGTGTCTTGGGTGAGGCCCAGGGGAGGATGTGAAAGGTGAGTCTTCTCACCTGCTGCTCACCGCCACAGCCTGCTCCAGCCATGTAACCCTGAGTCCGTTCTCCTGGCTGGGGTGTGTGTGTGTGTGTGTGTGTGTGTGTGTGTGTGTGTGTGTGTGGTGGGTGGATATCAACCTCTTTCCCCTCCTGACCAGGCTGGCTAGGACACCTCAAATGTCCCCTGCCTGCTCCGGAGCCCGAGAACTTAGGCAAGGAAGGGACAGGCCCTGCTCAGGTCTTGGATGGAGCCACCAGCACAGTGGGACTTCCGGTTCCTAATTTGTTCGGCTCAGTTTGACTCTTTCTTTCCCTGGTGAGCGTCCTGCGGAGTTTTTTGCTCTTCAGCCGCAGTTTACAGACACAGTGGGGTTTGGGAGGAAGCTGGGAGACCCAGGAGAGGGTAGAGGCTGCCAGAGGCTGTGCTGGTCCAGCAAGGCCCTGGGCCTGAACCCATGGCCCAACTCTCAGGCCCTCAGCTCTTGTCACACCAACTCCAGGGAGGTTCCTTTCCAGGCCTCCCAGGACCCTTGGCCTCACACCACTTCCTGCTAAAAACTGCCACAGGCTCCTTCTTCCCTGCAAACCAGAGCCCTCCTTTGTTTACCCTAGCCCCTCAGAACTGGGGTTTCTTTGGGCCTGGCTCTCCTCTCCTGTTAAGGTCTGGGAAAAAAGGGGTGTGAGGGGGCTGGCAGGCAGGGGCTGCGGAGGCCTGTCCTCCCCCGGTGAGCTGTGGTTCTCTCGTGCTACCAGTCCCGGGACGGCTCTGGCCCTTATGTGTGCCTCCTCCATATCTGTGCACGCCTGTCTTTTCCTGTGTCAACTGGCATTTGTCCTCGGTGCGGAGAGAAGCCCTCAAGGGTTTGTGCTGAGACCCCGGGCAGCGGGAGATAAATGGAATTTGCAATAAATCCGGGAGCAAAGTCGTAACTTGACTTGAAAACAAACAAAAGGGCCAGAACTGCACTTAAGCTCGGCAGAGGCTCATCTCCCAGTGTAAACAGAAAAGGGCAGCGGGGTTGGGGAGCCTCCAAGGGCCTGGGACAGTGCAGCAGGGAGAGACGGGCGCACTTCCTCCGGAGGAGAGGGCTGGGGCAAGGTTTCTGGGGCCTTGCTGAGCCTGGAGGAAGACAGGCAACTGCTGCTGTCTGCCTCTCTTTCCCATGACTCTCCCGTCGAGAAAAGCGGCCCTAGGATCAGGACCAGAAAGTCTTCAGGAGAAACGTATCCATGATCTGTTGCTAGGGCCGGACTGGGAGTTCTACCCATCTATACCATAGTTCCTGGGCTAGATACCCAGGGGCTGACTCTATGTTCTACCACAGAGATACCTGCATGTCCGTGTTTATCGATACAGCGCTCACAGTAACAGGGAACTAGAACAAGTCTAGGTGACCATCAGCAGAGGACTGGATGGTGAACATGTGGTACATACACACGCGGTGGGATTTTATTCAGCTGTAAAGAGAAACAAAATTATGAAACTTGCAGGAAAATGGGTGGACCTGGAATTTACTCTATTCCATGAGGTGACCCAGACTCAGGAAGACAAAACTGTTTGCTCTCTCTCATACACAGATCTCAGCCGCTGATGTTTATATATGTGTATATGTGGGTGTGAGTGGGGATCTAGGCTGTGAAATGAAGAGGACCACGAGAGTGGGAAGAGAGGAACTGAGGAGGCAGGGAGGGTAAACACTCGTGGAAAAAGGCAGGTGGGAGAGCTGGGGAGATGGCTTAGCAGATTAAAATGCTTGCCCATGCAAGCCTAATGACCCGACCCGGGATCCTATGTAAAGAACTCAATGTGTGCATCTGTAGTCTCAGGTTATGGGCCCATTGGGGGCCTTCTCATTCAAACCGCCACACTCACCGAACGTGTACCCAGGGATTTCCCACAACAAGAAGGTAGAAGGAAGAAGGCCTGAACCAGATCCTTCCTCAGGGTGCCTGGAAGGAGTCCCTGCTACCAGCACCGTGTCTACAGAACTGTGGGGGGAGCCAGTTCTGTTACTGAAGCCAAGTTCACCAAGTTGGTGGGAACCAGCCCAAGACTGTCCTCCGTATACCTGAATTTGGATGCTCTTTCCTTGGAGTTCTAAGAGAGACTGTGGCCTGACCCTGCCACGCCACAAAGCCGTCTGAGGACCGGCGTCACTATTCGGTTCTGCCCGGCGGCACTAGTGACTTCACACCCTAGAAAAGCGCAGAGAATTGGCGTGACCCATTTGGTATCACTCTGAAAAAAGATAAGAACAAGGGAATTTCTCATTCATTCATTCACTCGTCACCGGGTTATGGAGCCTACCCTAAGCCAGACTCTCAGAACACAAATGTACCCAAGGCTAGAGCCGGCCCTGTCCCAATCACAGGGGGCTTGGGCCATGAGGGCCACTAAAGAGGCTGGGTCGATGTGTCTGGGATTCCTCCAGCTCTGGGATTCAGTGACTTGGAAGAAGAAAGAAGAGGTGGCGGGGGGGGGGGGGGGGGACATTTTCTGTGGTCATAGATGTTGAGCGTCAGGGCTGAAGCAAGGCTGCCAGTGACATGAGCCAGTGAGGAAGAGACCCCGTGAGGATGAGGCATGCTTTACTGGAGGGCTGAGGTAGGCAGGAGCCTGGCCGGGCAGCCACTGTAGGAGGTGAAAAGGGCCTCCTTGGCCATCGCTAACCGTATAAAACCCCAGGTCTCCAGAATAGTTTCAGCTGACTCGAGCTTATCAAGTATCAGGCTGGAAACACCAACGGTTTGTGTAGGAGCCTTTTCCAGAACACCGGGGATTTCACAAACTTGGCTACGTGAAGCATACGTTTCCTGGAATTCTGGCCTTCTGGTTCTGGGATCCCCCACGTTCCCACAGGCCTCCTGCTCCTGCTTTCACACACCTGGCGTCTCAGTGAAAGGCCACTTTCTAGATGGCCTCTCCAGCCACAGGACATCTGTGTTCCTCGGCTCTTTGGTTTCCTCTCCACATTTTTTTGGGAGTTATATGACACTCGGTGGCGAGTGATGCTGGCAGTCTAAGAAATACAAAGTTCAGAGCCGGAGGCCGCTGTGGTTTTTCTGAAGCTCCATTGCATCTGGGCTAGAGGTGACGGCTTCCCTCCAGAGACCCCAGCGGGCAGGGGCTGTGGCAAAGTTCAAAGAACAGTCGTGTCCACCATGGCGGCGTGTTTGGCGCACAGAGCCCGACAACACACTAAAAGACAGCCTAGGACCAGTGGGCAGGGCAAGACGGACTAAAGGGGTGGCCTGAGGGGAGAGGCAGGGTCCCTGGATCCCTGGCTCCTTCCTAATGATGGCTTACAGTGGTGGCATCATTAACTCTCCAAATGCTGTCATTGTAAGCCCTACAGTTACCTGACACCGAATGTAATTAAAACCTAACGGTTTGCAGTTAACTTTCCTTTTTATGACCTCACAGATGTGTGCAAGCCCTCCATCCCAGATCATCTTATTTTCAGAGAGAAGCAGAGAGGTATGCTGAGGGGAGGGCCCGGAACTCTTCAGATTCAGAAGTGAAAAGATGAAGGAAAACAAGAAAAGCACAGGTTGCATTTTTCTGATCTTAAAAGTAGTTTGTGGCCATAGAAAGCAAGTTAAAAAATAAAAAATAAAAAATAGCCGGGCGGTGGTGGTGCACGCCTTTAATCCCAGTACTCAGGAGGCAGAGACAGGCGGATCTCTGTGAGTTCAGAGTCTAGCCTGGTCTACAGTGCAAGATCCAAGTCAGGCACCAAAACTATACAGAGAAACCCTGTCTCGACCCCACCCCACCCCCCAAAAAAAAAAAAGAAAAAGAAAAAATAAAATAAAAACACAGCAAAGTATATAAATAAAATAGAAGCTACTCCAATCCACTCCTACCAACTGCCATCAATGTTTTGAGGTCCAAATACTATTCCTGATTCTGAAAATCTCCCCACATTTGTACTTTCAAAATAAAAGTGGACAGCTAGCCAGATGGCTCAGCAGGTAGAGGTGCTTGCTGTCGAGCCTGGTGGCCGAGTTCAATTGATTCCCACGACTTTCATGGTGATAGGAGAGAACTGATGTTTGTAAGTTGTCCTCTGACCACACAACACACACACACACACACACACACACACACACACACACACACAGAGAGAGAGAG